AATAAAAGGAGAGATTTCGACGTCGTTGGTAAAATGCTGGGGATCAAGCTGATTAGAGCCTTCTAACTTAACGGGGATATTTGTTTTACGTGCATGGTCCTGTAAGTATAAAACATGCTTTGGGACTCGCCTATGTAGCATATTCGGGGTCTCAAGAATTTTTGTAACGAAAAGCAATTTCGCCGATCAGTCATACTTGTGAAGTGGAATTTCACGAGGATGTTCTAAGCCGGCATTCGACCTAAATATTTCAAATTCGGCTTTACAGCACGATTGGGTCTTGCGTGCGCGCAAGTGAGTGTTTAGTTCAGGATACTACTGACACTCAATTAACTCGGTAGCCAGAATGAGCAGGAAGTAATATTTTTCTCAAGATATTCACATGGACCATCAAGCGTAAGACGAACTTTTGACTAGGCATGGGCCACGCATACAGAGGCATCAGATATTCAAACTGCACACAGCAGTCATATTCCCCTTTCAAAAGCCAGCACTGCAATGGAATATTTCGTAACAAATAAAGCAAATTGGATAACTGCCTAATCACCAAAGATGTGTTTTGGTGATTAGGCAGTTATCCAGTTTACATTATTTGTTGCGAACAAAAAAAGCTAATGCTAAATAGTCAATTTATATTCTACAATAATAAGGAGCAAATAGAAATCCTTTGCAACCACGCAGTCCAAATAATCCGATTTGTTAAGGAATGTGAGTGGGAAGAGTATTAGAATAACAACGAGGGCTTGGAGGTAAGACGACAATAATCCACGCGTTCTAGAATTTTTTAAAAGAACTCGGAAAAAGTGTTTGTTACTGAATCCAAATTCACTGGACGCAAATGATGAAGATGTTGGTCCGGTACATACCGCAGATATCTTTACCGCTTACTCCGTTATCGCTCAGTCACATCTCACGTTGCTAAAAAAGTACGCAAGAATGAAAAAAAATGGCCAATCGTGCGTCTTTGAAGTCGTGCAGTTAGCATGCTTCAGTTCATCTAGCAGTATATTCAATTGAAACAGCATTTGCAGCTAAACGCTGCTTCAGCAACATTCGTTTGATAAAATTAGGTGCGCAGCTAAATTCAGCTGTTCAACTATAATCATTTTCATGCACATCTGTGATCAAAAGAAGGGCAAAGCAATTATTACGCTTCAAAGCCGTTTAGCTGCGAATGAATGCAACAAGCAAGTTAATATGCACAAAATATGCATAAAGGAGCGAAGAAATTTTTCTGAAAGATGCTACCTCGCGTTATGAAGAATGAAGCCTTGTTCACGGACTGACGCTGAAGTGAGCTGAATTTAAGCAAATAGGGGCAAAACTGACATTAAATAATAGCGATTTTATTTAGGATTCACCAAATCTGGATCGTTTTTACTGACGGCTGAGTTTGTCATTGTTCGTTTGTAACAAACTTTAGTCCATTCTAAAACCTGCATTTCGTTGTCCTTCTTACAAAATCGATTCATGTAATTTTTTCATGCAGTTTGTTTGAATATTTTAGAAACTTCGGTAAAGAAATTTGATATGGATGAAATATTGGGACCCGATAGTATCAAGACGAATTTCGATTCTCATGCATATTTATGGGTAGGCGTTTTTCTGCACACCAGAATAACCAAGACTGTCGGTATGGATCCCTAGTAGAAAGCAAAATGTGACTATGTGTCAAATGAAGCCATGTAGCACGTTCGCTCTCAGACTGTTCTCCGGAACTGATTTTTTGACATATATGTATATATATATGTACATATATATATATATATCTTTCTGCAAAAATGCTGCTCAAACTACAGGAGCACTGCACTTTGAAACTCTCTGTCACCCCTCATATTCACAAGACTTGCACCAAATGAATAGCATTTCTTTTAGACGTTGGGCCAAGAAGCCGTGAAAAAGCGCTTTTCGTGATTTCATCGTTTCCCGCCCTCCAGGCTTTTTCTCTGCCGCCATGAACAAGTTGCCATCAAGATGGCAGAACTGTGTCGGCAGTTTTGGCACAAATTTTGATTGGTTGCACAGCTTCTTTTTCGAGATGTAATAAGCCGCACTTTCGATCCGAAATCTGAAGTTTTATAAAAACCCATCCTCTACGATTTTTTCTTTGGCTTCTGTGGCAAATTTCAGATACCCACTTTTTTATCTACTTTTTTATCTACGAAAACCACCAGCAGTGTCTCAGTGCAGATTGCTGCTTAACAGCAGCGGTCTCACTGCTGGGAATTTGAACAATACTTCTCCCCACCCCCTTTTTTTTTTTTTAAGAAGTGAAACAGAGAGGTTTAAAGCATAATTGTTTGAATTTTAATGCTTTGTGTTGAATGGCAGGACAGTGCCGTCACCAGCTAACACATCGGTTCAGTACTGTCAGTTTACACCATCAAACGACTTTTTTTAAATCTGATTCAAACTTTTCGAAAACTTTCAATGTAGGATTTTTACGAACGGATAGAAGATCCAGCAATGCAAATGATGATTATGCTCTTGCCGAATATTGTCGAACGCATTGATAATTGCGATACAGTGCTGGACTTTGGTGCGGGACCCACTATTCATGTTTCGGTTGTTTTCAGGCAGAAAGCCAGCAACGTGAGTACTTTTCAAAAAATCTTTGTGCCTCACATCTACGGACCGAATTGCACTTTAAAATAGTAGAGTTCAAGGGCATGCAGACTTATTTTAATTAACTAAATCAATCCCAACCAGCTCAATTTTTTCAAACAGTCCGTTAAACCAAAGCTTGTGCCTCTGTAGCATCGCCAGAATTTTCGTTTTCAAGCACTTACAATGAAAAGAGGAAGAAATAGAAAAGACATTTTTTGCGGTTAGTTTCTGGATTTTGGTTGTTAATAGTAGGCCAACGCACGGGCTGCCCGTGCGAAGATGCGTTTTTTGCATAGTCCCCCGCAGTTTTTTTTGCTACCGGCATTGGTTTTTTCGGCAAATGCTTCTAGCTAAAGAAATTAAGACTGGCCGCCAGAACTGGCAGGAAACACCCCCCTAAAATTTCAGCTTTCTAGCTTTTCTAGCTTCTGAGTTAGCAACTTACTGGAAAAAAACTTTCTCGGTCCCACAAGTGGGTACCACGCATACCCGATATCTGGGATCGAGCTCGTTGACTTACGTGGACGGGTAACATCCTCTTAAAACTACAATCTTCTAGCTTTTCAGGTTCTCGAGTTAGCAAATTGCCGGAGAAAAACTTTGGCGAGTCCGTGCATGGGTGTTACGCATACCCGAGGGCTGGGTTTGAGCAGAATGAGACTTAGGTGGACGGGGAACATCACCCTAAGATTCCGCTTTCTGGCTTTTCAGATCTCCGAGTTATCAACTTACCCGAAAAAAGTTTTGACGGGCTCGTACGCGGGTACCACGCCTACTCGAGGGCTGGGCTTGAGCTCATTAAGACTTGGACGGGAAACATCCTCTTAAAATTTCAGCCCCCAAGCGTTTCTGGTTCTCGAATTAACAGCTCACCCGTAAAAAACTTTGGCGAGCTCTTATTTGGGTACCCCGCGAGTAAGACCGCCCATTTTGGGGATGGGGCCCGTACGTGCATGTAGATTAAGTTCCCAAAGTTTCAGCTCTGTAGCTTCTGTAGGTCTTGAGATGAAAAATGGGTTCGGAGGCCCTGTGCACACACAGACAGGCACACACAGACAACCTCTCGTCAATATGCGTTTTCCGCATTGCATAGTTGCAAAAAACGCATAAAAAATTATAAGACACTAAGACTGCCAGGACAGTCATTAAAGATACATTCATACTGCCGCGATATAGATATAAGCAAAGCCTAGTCAGATCGTATTCTCGTGTGCTTCAAGCCATTGTTGACTTTATCTGCAAACTACAAGTAGCTTACCTTCTTCAGCAGACAGCCGAGTTACTGTTTCACCTTTTCACGGCTTTTTCTCATATTATTATAAGTCATCCGCCCGCCTTATAAAGAAAACACTGTTTCTCGCGCCTGAGATTTTACATTTTCTTTTCGTCACAATTGCAACATGTACGCTGTTCACCTGGCGATACATTTTAATTTTTTGTGACTGCAGATGCTCCAGACCTCTTACTCTTTACTGCTTTCACCATCGCGAATCAAGCATTTATCTGTTTTTATAAGTTTTGCGTATCATGCCAATGCAAAAACGTATATTGTCGATGTCTGCCTGTTTGTGTATGTGTGTGTTCGGAAAAGCGAGTGAACTTTGTCACTTGCTTTCAGTTTAGCAGCGAGGCGATGCTGAAATTTTGAAAGCACATACCCGCCGCCATGTGTCTCCCTTCTTTTTATGCGTTTTTTGCAGCTATCCAATGCAGAAAACGCATATTGACGAGAGGTTGTCTGTGTCTGTCTGTGTGTTCATCTGTACTGATTTTTCATCTCGAGACCGGCAAAAGCTACAGGGCTGGAACTTTGGGGAAATAATCTACATGCACGTACGGGCCCCCACCCCCAAAATTGGGGCCAAAACCCGCGTGGTACCCGCGGACGGGCCCGCCAAAGTTTTTTTGGGGTCATTTCAGAACTCGAGGATCTGAGAAGCTAGAAGGCTGAAATCTTGGGGTAATGCTTCAACGCCCAAACAGGTATCATTGGGCTCAAACCCAGCCCCGGGTAAGCATGATAACCCCGTACGAGCCCGCCAAAATTTTTTTTAGGTAAGTTCATAACTCGGGGATCTGAGAAACTAGACTGAAATCTTGGGGGAATGTTCCCCGCCCAAGCGGCTATTAGTGGGCTCAAATCCAGCCCCCGGGCAAACGTGGTACCCGCGTACGGCCCCCCCAAAAATTTTTCCCGCGCAAGTCCATAACCCAGGGATCTAAGAAACTAGAAGGCTGAAAAATTGGGGTAATGTTCCCCACTCAAGCAGGTATTAGTGGGCTCAAACCCACCCCCCGGTAAGCGTGGTACCCGCGTATGAGCCTGCCAAATTTTTTT